GGCTGGACGATGTGCCAGCAGCCATCTTTCCAGATTCTCCTCACTTCACACAGAATAAATAATTTACATACTATCGTATTGATCAATACAAGCAAGGGACTAAAGCATGCTCAGAAATGCTTTTTAATGTAATCCGAGTGTAGATTTCCTGTGTTGGCAAGTCGTATGTCCGCGCGGATCGCGATGGCCGCTGGGAGAGTGCCAGATAACATCGCAAACATTGCCGTCAGGTTTTTGTCATAAATCTTTTAAAAAGGTATGTCAAAAATCTGGATTGGCCATAATTCATCGTAGTCTGTCTAATGCAAGTACACAGTTTGTATAAAACATCAATCCCCTTACCATGCTCCTTGATGAAAACAGATCTTACTGCCGGTGAAGAGCTTGGCATTTGGAAACACACATCAAAGAGAGTTGGGCATTAATTACACCTCTTGAGTGTACTCAGTTTTGCTTGTTGATGTCATTTAGGCCTCCGCCAAGCTACAATCAATAGGAGGGAACCTACTGAGAGCATCATTATGTTTGGAGAAGGGAGCCCCTAAAATAAAGCAAGACAGTGGAATGATTGATGTTTAATGAATAAGTTACTTTGTGAGTAGACGGGTCTAGAGGCTGGAGATGCATACATCCGTAGATCTAGAACTTCGTCAAACAGGCACTGTGATGTCAGTCGGATGACTCGGACAGGGTGAACCCTAAAACGGTCCTCATGGAGCAGAGAGATGAATCCCAACAGAATCAAAACGTCCTCACGGTGAAAGAGATGAATCCCAACACGTTCAAGACGTCCTCACGGCGGAAAGAGATGAATCCCAAAACATTCAAGAAGTCCTCACGGTGGAAAGAGATGAATCCCAAAACATTCAAGACGTCCTCACGGTGGAAAGAGATGAATCCCAAAACATTCAAGACGTCCTCACGGTGGAAAGAGATGAATCCCAAAACATTCAAGACGTCCTCACGGTGGAAAGAGATGAATCCCAAAACATTCAAGAAGTCCTCACGGTGGAAAGAGATGAATCCCAAAACATTCAAGAAGTCCTCACGGTGGAAAGAGATGAATCCCAAAACATTCAAGACGTCCTCACGGTGGAAAGAGATGAATCCCAAAACATTCAAGAAGTCCTCACGGTGGAAAGAGAGAGATGAATCCCAAAACATTTCAAGACGTCCTCACGGTGGAAAGAGATGAATCCCAAAACATTCAAGACGTCGTCACGGTGGAAAGAGATGAATCCCAAAACATTCAAGAAGTCCTCACGGTGGAAAGAGATGAATCCCAAAACATTCAAGACGATCCTCACGGTGGAAAGAGATGAATCCCAAAACATTCAAGAAGTCCTCACGGTGGAAAGAGATGAATCCCAAAACATTCAAGAAGTCCTCACGGTGGAAAGAGATGAATCCCAAAACATTCAAGAAGTCCTCACGGTGGAAAGAGATGAATCCCAAACATTCAAGACGTCCTCACGGTGGAAAGAGATGAATCCCAAAACATTCAAGAAGTCCTCACGGTGGAAAGAGATGAATCCCAAAAACATTCAAGAAGACGTCCTCACGGTGGAAAGAGATGAATCCCAAAACATTCAAGACGTCGTCTCTCACGGTGGAAAGAGATGAATCCCAAAACATTCAAGAAGTCCTCACGGTGGAAAGAGATGAATCCCAAAACATTCAAGACGTCCTCACGGTGGAAAGAGATGAATCCCAAAACATTCAAGACGTCCTCACGGTGGAAAGAGATGAATCCCAAAACATTCAAGACGTCCTCACGGTGGAAAGAGATGAATCCCAAAACATTCAAGACGTCCTCACGGTGGAAAGAGATGAATCCCAAAACATTCAAGACGTCCTCACGGTGGAAAGAGATGAATCCCAAAACATTCAAGAAGTCCTCACGGTGGAAAGAGATGAATCCCAAAACATTCAAGACGTCCTCACGGTGGAAAGAGATGAATCCCAAAACATTCAAGAAGTCCTCACGGTGGAAAGAGATGAATCCCAAAACATTCAAGACGTCCTCACGGTGGAAAGAGATGAATCCCAAAACATTCAAGACGTCCTCACGGTGGAAAGAGATGAATCCCAAAACATTCAAGAAGTCCTCACGGTGGAAGAGATGAATCCCAAAACATTCAAGACGTCCTCACGGTGGAAAGAGATGAATCCCAAAACATTCAAGAAGTCCTCACGGTGGAAAGAGATGAATCCCAACACATTCAAAGTCCTCACGGTGGAAAGAGATGAATCCCAAAGACATTCAAGAGTCCTCACGGTGGAAAGAGATGAATCCCAAAAACATTCAAGACGTCCTCACGGTGGAAAGAGATGAATCCCAAAACATTCAAGAAGTCCTCACGGTGGAAAGATGAATCCCAAAACATTCAAGACGTCCTCACAGATGAAACATTCAAGACGTCCTCACGGTGGAAAGAGATGAATCCCAAAACATTCAAGACGTCCTCACGGTGGAAAGAGATGAATCCCAAAACATTTCAAGACATTCGGTGGAAAGAGATGAATCCCAAAACATTCAAGAACGTCCTCACGGTGGAAAGAGATGAATCCCAACACATTCAAGAAGTCCTCACGGTGGAAAGAGATGAATCCCAAAACATTCAAGACGTCCTCACGGTGGAAAGAGATGAATCCCAAAACATTCAAGACGTCCTCACGGTGGAAAGAGATGAATCCCAAAACATTCAAGAAGTCCTCACGGTGGAAAGAGATGAATCCCAAAACATTCAAGAAGTCCTCACGGTGGAAAGAGATGAATCCCAAAACATTCAAGACGTCCTCACGGTGGAAAGAGATGAATCCCAACACATTTAATCCGTCCTCACGGTGGAAAGAGATGAATCGGCAGCCTGAATTTGATTTTCGTTATTCGTTTTTCGGATAATGAATTACGTATTAGCAACGTGTTCTTTATGCCCATCAGATCTATCAAATATAAGGCAGACTATATCTCAACAACTGTTTAGTTATTCAGCACTTCTGAATAAAGAAGACCCAGCAGCAACGGGTTTGTGGTTATTCAGACTTGGAATTTGTATGTCGAATAAAAACATACACACTGAAACTCATGCAATGAAAGGCAGCAGGTTCGTTTACTGGTGTAGCATTGTGCAACAGCTAATCAGGTATTGAGCACTTATGAATAAGAAAAACTAACTAACACCGGCTCCGATATTCAGTTTATGTCCATCAATTCTATCAAATATATGATAACAAATATAACATACCGTTATGTAAAAGATGCGCCTGCATTACGGTCATCTTATGTGTAGTACAAAGTTAATGTTGAAATATTATTATCATGTTTTTGTACGTGGGCCTAAGGCCTTTTCACGAAATAAACTGACTGATACCGTGCTTCCAGCGGATTTGTGTTCTAAAAAGAGCGTTCTAGTAACGGGTTTGTTATGCAAAGACTGTATATCTTTGAACTACAGTAATGTTAAATACACCAAGCTGGAGCCATCAGCTTCGTCTGATAGGTGCATTGTTCAAATTCAGTTCTTTTGAATTACGAAAACCTTGCCATCACTGTCAGTTTATGTCTGACAATCTGACAAATGTAAGGACATCTAAGATGTTTACAAGCAACTGTTTAATTTTGGCGTTATAGGACACACAATAGACATGAACTTCTGGAGAGAAGTACAGATATGGTAAATGACAATGGTTATGCTTGGAAACATAGTTTGTGTGTGTAATATAATACTATATTTTAAAATCTGCCTTTTAAATGTTGTAATTCATTCCCATATGCGTCAAACTACTTTATACTAAATATTATAGCAAACCATGAATACGAGGAGCGGTTGACACGGCCTCGGCTCCATTATTTTTCAGGAATGGAGAGTAACTCGGACATTACCCTCTACATAATGTGTTTCAGGGACTGTGAGGCAGACTACGTATAAACCAAAGGCCCCCTTCCTCGTGTAAAAACTGATAATATCACTAGCTTCAGATGTTGGAAATGTAGGCCTTGGTCAGCTGACTTCCTGATCTCCAATACTTTACAACATTTAAATGAGTCATTTGAATGACCTACTATGGTTGGTAACATACAGAGTTTGATTAACAAATCTGCTGCTGGCATGTTTTCGTTATTCGAGAACAAATTACAAAAATAGAAAAAAAACATTTGAAAATATACTGTATCTTATATTTCTTGTCCCATGTCTGAATAACTAATCCGGCGCTAAGCAGTTGTTGGGATATGGATTATCTTAAATTTGATAGAAGGAATGGGATTAGAGTGAATAACGAACCCGCAGCTAGAACGTTATTCGTTATTCGAAAAACCGAAAAACGAAGCACGAACCCGCTCTTAACTACACGGTGCTAAACAAGTCCTGATGGCGAAGACTGCAATGAATCCCGGTCCTCAAAAGAACATTAATTTCCTTTTACTAACTAATTATGTGAAGTATCAAAACAATATATCTTTTGAACAGCATCAATACATTATTACTTCGTTAATATATGCACAGGGAAGGGCGGATTCCGGAATGTTGCGTGTCGGTGGTAGACGTCTATGGACATTTTACGGCGGCTTCAACGTGTCATTGTTCACCAGGATTTCACACTTCTGAGCGTTGCTTTTGTGGTGGATCTGTATGACACAGTTGACCGTAGATTGTGTGTGGATCTGTATAACACAGTTGACCGTAGATTGTGTGTGGATCTGTTTAACACAGTTGACCGTAGATTGTGTGTGGATCTGTATAACACAATTGACCGTAGATTGTGTGTGGATCTATATAACACAATTGACCGTAGATTGTGTGTGGATCTGTATTACACTGTTGGCCGTAGATTGTGTGTGGATCTTTATCACACTCGTTAACTCACTCTGTAAGTGTGTACAAGGTTTACATTACTGCTACTGTGGCGTCATGTAGTGGTCATGTGAGCTCTTCCCCGGGTGATTGATGTACATAGCTGCAGTCCGTTGTAAGAACACATCGTTTCTTTCGTTACAGCAGACAACGATGACGACAAGAAGGATGACGGTGACGGCAAACGACGACGGAAACAGCGGCGTAACCGCACAACGTTCAACAGCACCCAGCTAGCGGCGCTCGAGCGAGTGTTTGAGAGGACACACTACCCAGATGCCTTCGTTCGAGAGGAGCTGGCCAGGCCGGGTAAACTTGAGCGAAGCAAGAGTTCAAATAAGTTTGTGTATATTATGCTGCCCATTTTGTACTAATGGTGGCAGACAGGCAAAACACAGACTGTAACCAGTGGATGGTAATGAATGTCTATGTTGATAAAGTTATCATATTAATAATTATAATGCTATAATTGTATGCTCCTAGGGGGAATTGAGATTGATAATACGATATGTCCTCTGAGATTGACATCCAGTGATCGAGGTGAAAACAAAGCGCCTTTGAGGAGGCTGAGGAGGATATTGGCGCTATACAAATATTAGCATAATAAAAATAATTATAATATCCATATCCATATGTATGTTAATTTCCATATTCTTGTAAAGGAAAGCACACTACGTTGTGAGTGTTTTCAATGTATTCGTCTTGGCAATATTTCTAACCACGTACATTGTCATTTCAGGTGTGGTTTTCAGAATCGACGAGCCAAGTTTAGAAGAAACGAACGCAATTTGATGGCTCAGAGACAAAGCATATATGGCCGAAGTCCTGAAAACACTCCCATAGAACAACCCATCACCCCGCGGCCGTCCCCCATGAACTCCGATTACCTGTCTTGGTCAACACCACCTAGTTACAGCCCAGTTACCACCTCCTCAAGTTGTGCACTGGCAAATCACTCTTACTCACCACCGCCCAACGTGGGGTCCAGTATAGCCTGTTTACGTCTCAAAGCACAGGAATACAACACCATGCATCACTCTCCCTACGGGCACCAGATGTCGCAGTGAGACAGGTGCCCCTCGTAATCTAATACACTTTGGACATGTCATCACTTCATACGCACATTGAAAATGGCGGAACAGTGAGGATTGCTCAACACGGGAGAGTTGTGAGATCCTACTACAGGCAGGCCACACGACTATTGGTGCTATTCGATTTGTGAAAACTGTGTATTTGCTTGTGACTTTTGTTATCACAGGCCTCACTCTTGTGGTAGCTCGAAAATCACATGTTGAATATTTTTGTTAATGGTGCTATCTAGAACGTTGTCGCCTCCACAGAAACTATCTGAGCTATGTCATCCAGGTTCCAGCACCAGGTGCTAGGAAGGATCTTGTAGATATTGTCACTTCACGTCGCTGTATGTGTTCTACATCCATCATCCGTCCACACTTGCCTTCATGCTGGGTACACCCGAACCCCTGGACTGTCCATACATACATGTCCACGCCAGGCAGCTATCAGATATCGGTGCCTTACCTTGCTGGTGCGTCACAGGTGCTCTATACAGACTCTAGGAACTGAGTATACATCCTTGTAGGAAGCCTGGAGTGTGCATCCCTGGAGGAAAACCTGCTGGACATGCAGCATCAGCCGTCCTCTATCAATGGTCCATCAATGGATCTTATTAACATGTTCATGATGATGCCCCGTGTGTGTTCATATATTGAATATATGTCATGCCAGTTTATGCCATCCAAGTCAACCAGCTTCATGTTGATTATATACTATTGTCATCTTTATGCATGAATATTTAAATGTTTGTTCTGATTGTATTTCGAGGAGATGTTATTTTTCCACAGATTATGGCCTTTCAGCCAGGGAGGTCTACAGCCTCCAAGACGAAAGCCTGAAATATAGACGAAAGAGGCATTTCGTAGTTATCCTCGCTATTTCAATCTTAAAATGTCTTTGCAACCCTTGGCTATGATAATAGCCCATGTAGATGGTTCCGTGAATGTGTCCAAGGGATGGGACTGTGGGTAGTGGGCTGCAACATCGTAATACGTTTACATTGACACAAAAGCTCTTTTGTATCGCAAACTGCCTGAAACGACAACTTGACGACCGATATCTCACGTGGATACTCTTCGTAAGGGGTGATGTCTGATCCACACGTTTGTTTATTTTAGTTTGTTGTTGACAGGCCAAGAAGATGATTAGGCATTTTAGTGTCGAATCAAAAAACTGATGTTCATCTGGGCTCGTTTTCTCACATTTATAGGATGTGTTGGCATAATTAACATCTATGTTAGTTCGTCAGAGGAATTAAAGGGATCAAATTTCCTTCTGTCCTCGATTAACTAGAGTTAACAAAAGACAAACCAGCTAGTCTTGGAAATTACTTGCTTCCTTGTTTCGTCGATTGGCTTTGTCATTAGATGTCCCGTAGACTAACGCTTAGTGCCTGAACATAAAATTTAATGATTTTTTATAGTAACCAATAAAAACCATTTAAACTGAAAAGGAGCCCTTGTGAGATGGGAGATTCGGAAATCTAGATTGCTTCATTCATTCTTTAGCATTGCAGGGAGGGCTAGGCAGTAGCGAAAATAATGTGGCTCAGGCACTGTGAGACAGACTAGAGGTCCTGATATTATCGTATTTATAAAAATGAAGTATTTCAGTCATAGTCGGATCTCCTGGTCAGAACGTACTTAGAGAAAATCAGCAAAAGAGAAAAACAGCAAGAGCGTAGTTTTCTTTCAATTATCAATCAACATGTTACACGATTTTCATGTCGCCACGTCGACGACAATTGATTTCCTACGAAGAACTAGATGTTTATTTTTTGTCCACACACACGTCTCGAACAGTATATATCCTGGCTTCCCCTGCGTTGTCCACATCACCAGCACTGTCACTCACCTGTTGTTGATAAGACATGCATATGTTATTCCACCAGTTACTGACCCCTTGTGTACGTAGGATACAAAGAACGATATAAATATAAAGTTTTCTACTCGACCTACATGGCAGTGTTTCTATGGTTTTAGGATTCAGAATAAACTGCATCTGTACTTATCTTTTTGTATATACACCACAGGCAATCTAGTGCAAATGATAATATATACTTACTTCAAACATCCTACTTGACTGTCTCGTACACCTCCAAGGATGACGAGGTCTACAACTGCTTCAACCAGTTAGGACGGTCAGCGTCTTGGTGTATGGTGTTTTCCCCGGCTGCGGCTGCTGCTGCTGCTGCTGTTGCTGCTGCTGCATCAGGGTGATGATGCCTCTCATCTTCCCACAGGAGCTAGCTCGTACACAGGTGCACATAGATTCAGTCCATTGATATGTACATGTATGTTTCTGGAGAAACGTGATTCACAAATAAACTATCTCAAATCCCCGACGGTTTTGCGTTTAATGTTTTAGGCATATGAACTGTTACCCAGGTATAATACTATTCTCCGTCTATACACAGGAATGTATATGTTACAGTGATATGTAAAACCAGGGATAATGTATAATCCCTGAAATGTTTAGTGATAATGTATAATGTCTGATTCACTCCAGTGATTATACATAATCACTGAAAATTTCAGAGATTATGCATAATCACTGATACATAGACTAAATTTTAGATATATTCTCGAAATCACCATCGTAGAAAAGAAACGTCTCCATCCTGCTTATATTTATACAAAAGTCTAATTCCACATCTTTTGGGATCAAATATACCTCAAACTACACTACCAAACGTAACTGCACTGTTCGAGCCAGTCATGTCTTCATGGTCAACAATATCTTCACGATCACAACAATGGACATCAGTCGTAGTCTTGCATTGCCGGCTGTCCATGCCAAACATTATTCAGGACAGAAGTAATTACTAAGATCCATCTCGTTGCCACACTCAATGAATTTGTTGGAAGCTCATGGATAGGGGGCACAAGGTAGGATTCTCCAGGCCGTTCCGGTCCGATGACGTCGTTTCATGGGCTGTCCACGTTGGCTGCAACTAACAAAAAGACTCTGTAGCCTTCAATGCAGATGGCAACCTTCCCATATTCGTCCAAGTGGTTAGTACAGTTATGACTTGTACCCATTAAACATTTACTCCCTATCAAAAGTTTAGACTCACTAGTGTAAATGTAGCCACTTACTTATGTCAACTCTTCTCAACTAGATTTTGCAAAATTTTTCCATACTGTTTACACTTGAACTGATGTATTGTAAAAACAAATTCGTAACGTTGAAAAGATTATTGTCATGGGTTACAAAAAATGATGAAACTGGGTGAAAATTGGCGAATTGTTAACAAAATTTTTCACCACAACACAGCAGTTCACATGCACGATATTTGCACATGCTTTTTAGCAATTTAATGCTTGATCCTCGTGCAATTCATCTGCATAAAGTTTGCAGTTGGTTCCCCAAAGTTAGTGGAGAAATTCATCTTCGATGTAACCACACATATATGCATAACATTTAAGTGAGTCTAAACTTTTGATGGGTAGTATATTTTGGTAAGCATTCGAAATAAATTATTTCCATATACGTTAAACAGAATATTTGGGTAGTGGTATATGTAGTGAGATTTTGATCCCTTAAGTGTCATGCTTATTATAAACGTGTTTGAAAACCATAAACAAACTCTTTCATAGTTTAGGACTGTAAGACATTGTGATCATCCACGAATTCAATATTGAGTAATCCTATTGGAAGTGGAAATCAACAAAATCGAGTTTCCTGGGATGGTATTAAGTGAAGTCTGTCACGACAAAGTGAAGTCAGATCCTTGTGCTGGACACGGGGACTGGTTCTGCTTGTTATCATTACACGTATCCCGAAGCATCCGGTTAGGTGATCCGTGTCATTCATATTCACTGTTTCTCCGAAGATGCTTTACTGATGGCTTTAATGTATATCAAAATGACTAAACTGTTTTCGCCTCGCCTCGCAGTTTCTACTCAAGAATTTTTAAAATCAAACTGCAAGTCAGTGTTTGACATACACGTGGACACATACAATTCGAGCATATATAATATGTGATCTAAGATTTCAGGAATGTGTTTGAACGGAAATATACATCCAACTAGACTATAAACTAGTCTCTGAAAAGAACATATTTTACAGAAAAAAAACAGTTCATAATAAAAAAACATAAAATTTAATGAAAAGGAGCCGTGGGACTTCCTTCATTTTCAGCCGGAAACTGTGGAAATCTAGACTTGCCACATAATCTAGACTTTACATAGGCTTTCTTGGATATGTTTGATTCAGGGTCTGTATGGCAGACTAACATCCAACTAAACACATCAATACAAACAGTACACCCATACATACAACAAACCTTCACCCTTACAGCCCTTCACATCCACAAACAGTACACCCATACAGCCCTTCACATCAATACAAAACGGTACACCCTTCACATCAGTACAGTACCCTTCACATCAATACAAACAGTACACCTATACAGCCCTTCACATCAATACAAGCCGAGTACCCACACAAATGTACTTACCGCATCAATACAAACGGTACACCCATACAACCCTTCACATCAATACAAACGGAGTACACTGATATACAGCCCTTCAAGCATCAATACAAACGGTACACCCATACAACCCTTCACATCAATACAAACAGCCTTGGTACACCGATACAGCTCCTTCATACATCAATACAAACAGTATACATCCCATACAGCCCTTCACATCAATACAAACAGTACACCCATACAACCCTTCTCACATCAATACAAACAGTATACCCATGCAACCCCATCACATCAATACAAAACGGGTACACCCATATAACCCTTTTACATCAATACAAACCAGGTACACCCATACAACCCTTCACATCAATGCAAAATGGTATACCCATACAACCCATCATCAATACAAATTGGTGCACCCATACAGCCCTTCACATCAATACAAACAGGATGCCCATACAAGCCCATTTCACATCAATACAAACGGTATACCCATACAACCTATCACATCAATGCAAACAGTACACCCATACAGCTCCTTTCACATCAATAACACAAAACGGTACACCTTATATACACGTACTTTCATATCAATGGAAGCGGTATAGCACTACATACAGCCCTATCACAGCGGCTAAAATATAAATAGCACACCTATACAGTCTTTCAGCACCTAGTACAAACCTTGTTTGCACTATGTGTATGGTTCTTACACAGCTCAATTCATAAACAATATGCATACAAGAAATTCTTCTACATCACACATACAAACGGTGCAACTCATACACCCATTCACATCACAATACAAGGCAGTGCACCTATACAAGCAGCTCTTCTACATCAATACAAACAGTACATCCATACAAGCAACCCTTCACATCAATGTAAATTGGTACACCTATATACAACCTTCTTCACATCAAGTACAAACAGTACACTCCATACAACCTTTCACATCAATACAAACAGTACACAACCCATACAGCTCCTCTTCACATCAATACAAACAGGATACCATACAACCTTTTCATCAATACAAACAGTATACCCATACAACCCTATCACATCAATACAAACAGTACAATCTATACAAACAGTCTTACATCAATACAACAGTACACCCATGGAACCCTTCACGTCCATACAAATCGTCATGAACCGGTATATGTCCCATTCCATCGAGTACAATATCAACACTAAAACAATACAGCTCCTTTCACATCATGGTTTCTAGTATACTCAATCAAGCCTGGAATCAATACAAACAGTACACCTATGATGACCCTTCTCACATCAATCTAAACAGTACATCCATACAACCCTTATACATCGATGAATGATTGCCTTCACTAATACAAATCCTTTCACATCAATACAGACAGTACACACCCATACAAACCCTTTCATCCATACAAACAGTACACCCATTTATTACTCTTCACATCCCGTACAAACAGTACACCCATTTGACCCCTTTCTACATCAATTTTCAAACATTACCTATACACCTCCATCACATACATCAATACAAACAGTACACCCAGCATAGCCTCCTTTCACATCAATACATAAACAGGTACAATCTATACAACCCTTTTTATCAAATCAAACAGTTATACATCATCACATCAATACAAACAGTGCACCTTTGCAGCCCTGCCCATCACATCACATGTAAACAGTACACCCATAAGCAACCCTTCTACATCAATAAGAAGCAGTATAATTCCATAGCAACTCCATCAAGTATCAATACAAACAGTACACCTATACAGCCTTCACATCAATACAAACGTATACCAATACGGCCCTTCACATCATTACAAAACAGTACACCCAGCTACAGCCGTTCCACATCAATACAAACGAGTACACCCATGCAGCTATTCATATCAATACAAACGGTACACCCATACAGCTCTTTTCACATCAATACAAACAGTGAGTATACATCCATACAAATTTTCCACATCAATGCAAACAGTACACTCATATACAACCCTTCTTCACATCAATAAGCAAACAGGTACAAATTCCATACAACCCTTCCACATCAATACTGCATAGTACACCCATACAGCTCCTTCACATCAATACAAATAGGACACCTGCATATAAACTTTTCATCAATGCCAGTATACCCATACAACCCATCACACTACAAAACAGTACCATATTCTTTCTGATCTAATACAAAACGGTGCATGTTCCATATAACTCCATCTACATCAATACAAATAGTAGTACCTAGACATACAACCCATCACATCAATACTACAAACACTACACCCATACAGCTCCCTACATCAATAATACAAACAGTATACCAATACAACCCTTTCACATCAATTACAAACAGTAATAATTCCATTTAACTCCTTCTTCATCACTACAAATAGTATACCTGCTACGGCTTCCCTTTAATACACCCATACAAACCTTCACATCAATACAAACAGTACACCCATACAACCCTTCACATCAATACAAACAGTACACCAATACAGCCCTTCACACCAATACAAACAGTACACCCATACAGCCCTTCACATCAATACAAACAGTACACCCATACAGCCCTTCACATCAATACAAACAGTACACCAATACAGCCCTTCACATCAATACAAACAGTACACCCACACAGCCCTTCACATCAATACAAACAGTGCACCCATACAGCCCTTCACATCAATACAAACAGTACACCCACACAGCCCTTCACATCAATACAAACAGTACACCCATACAGCCCTTCACATCAATACAAACAGTACA